CCTTCAAATAAATATAACTTTCGCACAGAATTAACAGTACGGCTAGATTATTTATCCCCGAGATAAAACCATGAAAAAGGTCACACACACAAAAAAACCAAACCCAAATTTTTTTCTTAGGTAGATACAAACACGCATTCCTATTCATCGCTATTGTGTGCCTGTTTTTCGCATTGAAAGAGCACAACATCGTTGTCCATTCATAGTCCGTAACGTGTACGAAGGTCGCCATGGAGGTTAATTACGTGGATTGAATTGAATGCTACCGAGACCGTGGGAGCAAAGTAGGTTATTGTTAACTGCTACCTGAAGGCCACGTTCGTTTTGTAAAAAAAATGGGCTTAGAATGACAGTAAATAACCGACAAAAACGGCATCCATGTGCGATGTGTTTTTTTGTTGTTTTTTTTGTTTGTTTGTTTTTTTGTTTTTTTGTTTTTTTTTATGGGCGACAACGCTGTTCCTATCTACACATGTTCACTTTCAAACATAACAGTAATTCATTCAATACAGTAACTACGACAATTGTAGTACGCATGAACCCCGGATTTACGTTTTGTGTAGGTAATTCCAAACGAAAGCGTAATAAATATTCATAAAACATTGTTTGATTACGTGATGTCATCCTTCGAAACTTGGCAGCAAGGAGAACACTTCTTGCTGCGCAGCCACATCTACCCCCACAGTGGCTTGATTTCTAAACGAACATACATTGTGACATATCTATAATTAGCTAGGGAATATATTCGTGGGTGCTGACAGGTAAATGGGAGTAAATCTGATTATCTACCATGAAATACAAAGCAAAAACTGCAATTTCGCAAAGCTTGTTGGGTAAAATCTAGGCTATACTAGATCCCGGTGTGTTTCACTGCAAGCTCCACGCTGCTACGTTAGGACCGTACCAAACATCCTAAACACAGTCCCTCTATAGATAGATAGAGATAGATAGTGATAGAGGGACTGTGTCTTAAACAAACTTAAGGTCTTACACTTTGCATCAAAAACAGATTTTAAGTGTGTGTTTTTCTGTGTATTCAATACATTATATATAAGAGCCATTAACTTTCTTTTTATTGTTACATTTTTAATACGTGTACTTTATAAAACCATATTTTAATCCGCCCAATTAGTGGAAGAAACTGTATTGTAGGGAAATTTTCACTTTTTTCTTGATTTTTCAAAAATTGATAAAACGGTTACCATAGACATTGATACATCATCCCAGGTTTTCAACAGATCGAAATTGAGAAATAACGTTGCTAAAATTAGTGACATTCAAACTCGCAGTTATCGTTCAAAAGATAATGATGGTGCGAAATATGTCTGGGTTTTTTAAGAAAATGCTTTATCACAAAATAGTAGTCTGTTAAAGGTGCCAAGTATGGAATAATTAGGGGACAATAAAAACAAACCTGCGTAGAAATCGGAAGAATAGATCATTTGCTTATCGGAGACGCATTTCAATGGACTTGATTACAGACAATGCCTTGCGCAAATTTCACCCGAAAATTCCGCATTGTGCTCTCGCGATCGCGGACTTAGTCATTTTTACAAGGTTTGCCTTTTCGTGGTCACGTGGTAATTACGTAAACGTATTGACTCTTTAGGTTGTGCGAACTTGTCCCTCTATACTTAGGCTTTTGAAATATACTAGTATACGCTAAATTACGTATACGGTTCTGAAAGAGACAATAGACAGAGAATGCTTTAATCAAAAACATCACCAAACCCTTCTCGCTACCTTAAATAATAAAGAAAGGGCGAAACACTAGAGACAAACAAGTCTTAAAAGCACAATAAAACTATAAATATGGGAGCAATATATTGTCAGAAATGTATGTAAATTCACTTTGCTGTGCTATTTGTGTATTTAGGGGTTGGTTGATTAAATATTCTGTTTTTGGAAAAACATTTATTGTAAAATTCTTTATTGTTGCTGGAATTAATTTTCGCTGAAAAGACCTTTTGAGTGTTTTATAAGGAATTTATTTTCACTGATTTCTGACGAGTTGAATGTAAAATGCAGAAAACAAGTATACTCGCTGTATTGTATTTTCATTGAATCATTCCTTCACGCAAATGGCGAAAATTAATTCCAAGCGAAAATGAAATATTTTACAGAAACGAAATGTGCGACAGCAAAGAACTTAGCATTTCCCAGCATACACTGCAGATTAGTTTACTCTGTTTTCTGTGGTGAAACTTCTACATATGTTTTACTAAATAATGCACTCGTGAATACCCCCCCACACACACACACACACACACCTTATACCTGATACGTATACGGATGTGTGCGTAGTCAGTGCAAGATTTCAGGTGTTGTTTTTCGACTGCTGGCATGGAGGAGACATAAAGTAAAGTAAACAATGATTACAATGTTCGCCAGTTCTGTCAATTATTAATTTAAAGCGGGGGAGTCGTCACCTGCGCATGCGTCAAATGGCCATAGCGTGTCATTGTTTACAAACAAGCGTCTATCCGTGAGCCTTTGCGTTTATAGCGTGTGTTGTTATCGTCGTTTGAGACTCAATTCCCGCACGTGCGCAGGTGGCGACCCTCCCGCTTTAATGTTATTTCATTTTTTCAGTCCGTCAAGGCATTTGCGCCCTCTATGGTAACTCACAATCATGGACATATCGTCACGATCGCCAGTCTTGCTGGTTCTATCGGAGCACCTGGAATGGTCGAATACTGTGCTAGTAAGTTCGCAGCAGTTGGGCTACACGAATCACTGTGCTACGAATTTATTAAAGAAGGGTATGATGGGATTAAAATGACATTGGTGCAGCCGTATTTGATTAACACTAAGATGTTTGACGGGTTTAAAGTCAGGTTTGTAATTCTCAGTAATGTTTGAAAGCCTACATAACCGAATACATATTAACTACAAGTTACAGTATTGTTACGTAGCCGAGTTTATGTACAACCGTACACTAATAAACGAATACAGATATGCAGACAAAACATTATTTTTAATTTAAGTTAATTCACGCCTTATTGTTTTATATCAAAATTATCAAATATGCTAGAAAATGAGTTTACCGCTCAGTAAAGTCCCTTGCGTTTGAATGTCTGGGATACACACTTACACCAGGCCCGAGGACTGTCGACAGCCTAGCTTAAGGGCACTGTCATACTTTGTAGATAATTTATAACAACATTAACAAGGCGGTGCTTGCCAAAGTTGGTTCAAGTTTTTTTATACACGTAAAAATAGGCTTTAAAATGTGTCATATTAGTCTCTCATTGACCACAAGAAATCGGCACGGTCACATACACTTACGACCACAGTCAGCTGGCACACACGTGATAATAAAATAAATGCGATATTTAC